CGGGAGGGGTTAGAACGCGTGCTCTGAGTCACGCGTTGACGCTGCAGTTTTTAGGCGCCCGGGACGGAGAGCCTTCTGTCCGGGTAATGACGGGGTGGAACGAGGTGACGTCCCCACAGCGACGGCCATCTTCACGGTCTTAGACGAGGGGTAGAATGTCCTCGCTCCTTCATTTTCAGATAAAATAAAAACTCGTCCAGCGACCGCGGCTTCCAGGGCTCTGTGTTCACGGAGAGGTTTAGGGGCGATTCTGCACTGGGTCCTGCCGGAGGCCACTCGGCAGCCGGGGGACAGCCCGGCACCAAGACTCTCCACCACCGGACAGTGCGAGGCCCTGCGGACTCGGTGCCTCCCAGCCCCCAGGAAAAGCAGGGTCACAGGGCCTCTTCCTGTCCCGTGAACCTGTGGGGGTGGGGGGATGGCCGTAGAACCCTCCAGAGACAAAGTGGAGGGAAGAAGAGGTCTTCGCTGAGCCGACTCGGTGCCGAACACCGGAGGCTCACAGGGGGACCTGCAGGTCCCTGGGCCGGGTCCCCAGATGAAGGGCAGCAGGTCCGGTCGACAGCAGAAGGGACTGTCAGAGGGGCCTGGGAGGCGAGGGAGAGTCTGGACAAAGGACAGTGACGTCCGACGGGGACAGAGGGCTGTGACCCCGAGTGCACGGTCGCCCTCCAGGCCTCCCACAGACCGCCCAGGAGAACTCGCATTTCTCTGAAATCGGCCGCCGCTGTGGCCTTCAGGGAGCTGGAGCGGAGACTGAGTCGGGCCCTCTTGGCCACGGCTCAGTCACATTCACGGAGTCGGTCTCAGGGAAGGAACCTGGCCCCAGGAAGTGGCCTCATGCCTTTCCTCCAGCAGATGGAATGGCTCCGATTTCATCTCCAAGTGTCCTCTCGGAGGGCGGTGAGCAGGACCTGCCGGGTGTCGGTCTGGCACTGTCACCCGGAGGCTCCTTTGCTTTTCACCAACGGTGCCTGTCCCCCGGGAACCACCTTTGTCTGTGCCCCGCCCCCTAGAAGGCAACGCCCTGCACTGGCCGTCGGCCCCCCTGCAGGACCACAGGGGCCCCCTGCAGGACCACAGGGGCCTTCTGCAGGAAGACCAGTCTCTGCGAAGGTGAGAAGTCCAGGCCACACAGCGCCTCTCCATCCAACTTACGCAGACGCCCCCAGGCCGCTGGGTGGTGACCGATGGCTCTCAGGGGACTCTGTCTTCACACTCCGGTTCTTTGAGTCGGTTCTGGAGCCCTCTCTGCAGGGAGACCGAGGGGACTCAGCCTGGCTGATCATTTCTCTTATTCCCCTATTTTGTTGTTCCATGTTTTAATGAAACACTGAACTGTGTTTGGGCGCTGTCTCATGAAGACGTTTCTGCAGGTCCCTTTGTGAACGCACTGGAGGAGAAGCACAAAGAGTCCGATGTTCCCACCATCTCCGTGTAACGGGGTCTCTCCCTGTCACTGAACTGCTCGGGAGGCGCACGGCAGCGGACAGGCCAGATGGCCGGACACGGTGCAGACACCTCAGCCTCCCTGGTCCCCACCAGCACGGAGCCCGCGGCGCCTTTATTTACTCGAAGTTGCACTGCTGTTCGCGGTGAACCTCTGCTTTGCAAACCGCCATGTAAACTTACTCCCATGTCACTGTTGCTCCTGCCCGCCTTGCTGACCCCTGGGGGTGCACACGGAGACTGTGGGAGCTGGGGGAGGAAGCACAGCTGTGGAAGGCTGGGGTTGACGGACTTCCAAAACGCGCCCCCTTGACCCCTGCCCCCACTGACTTGTGAGTGGGGGCGGATACCATGTCCGCGACCGGGGGTTCAGTGGGGTTCCATTCAGCGGCACAGTTGACTTGAGGGAAGTGACCTGATCCCATGAGTGACCCCATCCTTGCAGGAGACCTGTCACCAGAGGGAGGGGACAGGGAGGTGACTCTGTTGCTGTCTCTGAGGATGAACAGGGACATGTGGCAGAAATGTGGGCAGCATTTGAAAGATGGTGCCAATGGCCCTTGACCTCTGGCCAGCACAATGGTGGGGACCGTTGTCCTGCAAGTGCAAGGGACAGAATTCAGCCAACAGTCGGTGAGCTCAGCAGAGGCCTCTCCCTCAGACTTTCAGGAAAAGAGTGTCCTGCTGTCACCACCTGGTTTGTTCTCCTGAAACCCTGAGCGCAGAGGTGGGCACACTGGACCACGGGCTGCAGACCACAGGACCACATTCTGACAGCCAGGCGCTGCTTGGAGTCTTTGGTAGTTTGTCAGTAGCAATGGGAAGCTCCATCTATCTGTCTACCTCCCTCCCTAGCTATCCATCCATCCATCCTAAACCTACCACGGAAGACAAATCACAGAGATGGAAGAGATCTCTGTGTCTCTGGGGTCGGCCCACCTTAACCCAGGTGTCCCATTTGAAGACCACCCAGCCAACACGTTTGTCGTCTTTCTCAAAGTCCTTCTGGGCACAACTCGCCCTCACAGGAAGGCAGGACAGGGAAAGGAACAAGGAGCTATTTTAAAGGAGCCGCATAAGACACTCTCCAGCTCTTGGCCAATCAGAGGCGTGAGAGAGGACCCCGGAGGTTCACGGGGGACAGGCAGTGAGTCCTCCACCCACGGGTGTTTCTTGGTGTCCAGAAGCCCTGCCTTGGAATCTCGCCTTCATTTGCTCACTGAAAAACCACTCACTCAGTTTGTCTCAATCTCGGCTTCCTCATTTAAAAATGATTATCCTTAATTATTGGACTAGTGGGAATGAGGGAGTAAATGGAATGCCTGCCTCCATATTGCTGGTTCATGGTAACGTGGTAGGTGTTATTACTAATACTTTCTCTCTCTACCTCATTGATGTCTGTCTGTATAGAAGGGCACCTGTGTCAAAGGGCATCTGTCTGTGTCAAAGGGCATCTGTCAGTGCCCCCCCCATTTTGATCCGGGAGAGCCATAGAGAACGGAAGGACGCACCCCCAAATCCCAGCCTTTCAGAGACCAGAGAGCCCCCACGTGTCCTGGGTGTGGAACTTCCTGTCATGTCTGGGTGGAGTCAATGCTCACAGGTACATTTGGAACCTGGCCAGGACTTCGCGTACCAAGCAGGAGAATTTGGCATCGGGCCAGCTCGTCATAACTTGCACGGAGCAGGCACTAGCGCTTCAGTTATAAAGTCTTCATTTGAGGCCGTTTGTGCGTACCTGGGACTCGATCTCCCGACCCGAGGGCCCCACTGTGATAAGGGACTTGCTGGCTTTGAAAGGTCACCATACTCTTTAACGCTGGTTGGTGACGAGGTGGGTTGGGAAAGTGTGTCCTACCTGGCTACCTTTTTAAAGTATGACAGTCATTTGCAAATGTTTACATTTCCTGTCTCTCTATTTAGAGAACATCCTGTCACCTTAGGTTATGACACTGGAAGTAAGTCTCATATGGTGGAAAAATGAGAGCTGTCGGTTTTTTGCTGTGCTCTGGAATAATATTATTTTGCCCCAGATGGTGCTAAAAACATCGCAGGTGTCCTGTGATATCTTGGGCGGGCAGAATGCCATACTGCTCTGTAATAATATTGAATTAAAACATGGTTAGGTTCTAACTAATTTCCTTTCCTTTTCGTATCTATCTTTCACAATGCTTGGGTAAAAATGTAAAGGATGGAAAAATCTTTTCAAGTTTTTAAGGAGTCTTAAATATGATTTGGTTTAATATTACGGGGAAAAAAAAATCGGCTTCCACAGAGGCCGTGAGGGCCAGGACCTGCTGCGGTCTGGGAACCGGAGGGCCTGGCGGGTGGGGGCACAGCCCCTCCCCCTCCCTCGCACAGGTCCTGAGTCCCCCCCCCCCCACTTAGCATTCTCCCTGCACAACCAGAGTCCCCATCATCCCTCCCTCGTGCAGTCGTGAGGACTTGAAAAAGCTGATGCCCAGAAAGTACTCAGATCCGCGCCGCGTGCATCCTGGCTGTTAGCGTAGCACTGAGAGGCACGCGGTGGGCGTGACGTGGGGTTGTCCCCGAGGAGATGACTCTGCCATGTCCTTGCACTGCGTCCTCCAGGCTCACTGCTGCACGACACGCTACCAAATTTACCAAATCTTGAGGGATTCGACAAACTACAACTCCAAGGGACAAAGAATCAGTAGGTGCTTTAGGTCACTGGAAATACTTCCAAAGTAGAGACTGGCCTTTGCGGCTCGATTTTTCCATTGCTGGAAGCGGTTCTGATTTGGTGCCATCTGGCCTTTGCTTCCCACCGATGGGGTGACTCTCTGCTCCCCACGGTCAGGGTGGCGTGGCTGAAAGGAGGGGCGGAACCGGCCGCTCCGCGGAGCCCGGTCGGGGAAACCGGACAACCTCAGCTGCCGGTTCCTGAACGAAGTACCGCCCGCTACGCTGATGGGTCTGCGTCCGGCACTTCGGGTACCGTTTTGGATGTCCCTGCCACGTGGGTGTAGTGGGCGTGTCTCTCCCACCGGGGAGGAAACCGAGTCTGAAGAGGCTGAATGAGTCGTCCCCGGGCTGTGGGGTGGCAGGCACCAGATCACAGATGGACGCCCCGCGCTCACGCTGCAGGTCCTACTGCCTCTTCTCAAGGACAGGCGTGTTGAGTGGCTGCTTAAGTCGTTTTTTATATATTTTAAAAATATGTTATTTATTTATTTTTAGGGAGAGAGGGAAGGAGGGAGAGGGGAAGAGAAACATCAGTGTGTGAGTGCGTGGTTGTCTCTCACACGGACCCCACTGGGAACCTGGCCCACAACCCAGGCCTGTGCCCTCACCGGGAAGCGAACCGCGGTTGTTTGGTTTGCAGGCCACACTCAATCCACTGAGCCACAGCAGCCAGGGCTGCTTAAATCACTTTTTAAAAGAAAAGATTTGGGTTAGAACTGTTCGGGTGCTGCAGGATGAACTTGAAAGGATCTCAAGGTCCCTTCGATTTGATGAAGGGCTGCCATTGGTCCCTTCAAAGGCCGGACGGGACCGCGTCACCGTGCGACCCCGCCCGCCCGCCGTACCTCCGGAGTGCGGCGGAGGGCCACAGAGCAGCACCACACCTTGGCCCTCGCGGACAGACACTGCGCTCCTAGCTCTGGTCTCGAAGTCTTCGATATCTTGGAAAACAAAGAAGAGCAGGTCCAGGATCAGTTATTTTGCGAAAAATTAAAAAAAACATTTTAAAGAGAAATCTTACACTATTTTTATTAACAGTAACCAGCACCCACACCCGACTGACCAGAAGGTGCGGTGGATGGTAAGGAAAGCGTCATTAGCTTCACTCACCGCCTGAGCACTTTCGTTCTCCCCGCAGCCCGCAGCCAACAGGACACCTTTCAAACCCCCGGTGCATACACCCCCCACCCAGGAAGGAGTGATTTGGAAGAGGCCCAGGGCTCGCTGGCGGTTGTCTGAGCCTGCCCGGTGGGCGTGGGCATCGCCCAGTGTGGGTGGGGCTGTGGGAGGGAGGGAAGGAGGGAGTTCTGTGTCTGAACCCGTGAGAAGGAAAGTGTGCCTCCCGGGCTGTCTCGGTCGACTCCTCCCCAGAACAGCTCTGTGGGCTCCGTGGAGCGAGGTCACCTCCTAGGACATCAAAGGCCCACAGGAGTTTGGTGTCGGAAGAGAGCTGGCCAGCGATCCTGTCCACCCATCTGTCTGAGGTGTCCCTCTGTCCACCTTCCTGGGAAAGTGTCCTCCAGGAACGGCCAAAGTGCTGGACTTCTCTGAACTTTAAATTCTCCACCTAGAAAACCCCTTTTTTCTTTCATTCGGTCATTGAACACATTTGTAGCGAACCCGTGGGGAGGGTATTACGGGTTGACCACGTATTAGGGTAAAGCAGGCACACACCTGCCCTCCTTGTGTTTACACCCTAACAGGGAAAGAGGAAGAGCAGCTAACACACACACACACGTGCAATTCACACACGGGTACGTGTGAGGCGAGGGTGCTCCTTGCCCCCCAGGCCGCTTCCTCCGTCCCCCATGGAAACAGATTCCTGGGCCAGATGTGCCTTTCCGACCAGAGGGTCCATTTCCCGGACATCTCTGCAGCTACCTGTGGCCAGCGTGAGCAATGCCGGCCAGTCAGGTGTGGAAGGAAGTCGCCACCCACCCTGTGAGCACCAAGACAGCAGAGATCCCAAGAGATCTCGCTGACGGTCAAGCGCCCCTCAGCTTGGGGCCCGCGGTGGTGGCCGGGGCCGAGCCCCGGCTCCCGTCCCTGGATTAGGGACCAGCAGTCAGGACATCCTGAGTGTCCCTGGCGTGGGGTGCTGCCAGTGACATTAGGGAGGACGGATTGTATTAAGTCAAAGGGCTGCCTTGGGACTTCTTGGAGAGTGAGTTATACTGTTAAAAACAAAAAAGCTAAATAGTGCTCTGATGCTGCCTCATTCTGGAAAAAACTTAAGTAAAACCTAAATATGAGCACATTTTTAAATTTGTGTAGAGAGAGTTATCGGATGAGGATTTTTCACCTTGACAGTGTCCGTGGGATGAGTGGGGGCCGTGAAAGTGAAAATTGTTCATTCTTTACTCACACCTCTCTTTTTTAGAAGACTCTAAAGATGGTCGCTTCTGTGCTTTTTTAGGTTTGCTTGTTTGTAATCACTTTACTGCGATGTACTACGAAGACACCACTGGTGTGGTTCAGAGGAGTCCTGTTCTGGATCTCCTCGGTGTGTGCCGTCTGCGAGCCATCTGGGTGCCCGGCCACCTGGGCCGTGGCGTCCATGAGCCCTGGACTCAGAGGACAGGCCGGGCCCAGACTGAAAAGGACAGCGTTTATTAGCGCGTAGGTAGCACCGGAAGCCATGGGAATGGATGTGGCCCCGTGGGGTGGCTCGTACACTTCTGGCACAAGCAATTCAGTGGAAGTGATCGGGGTCAAACACTGACGAAGTCCAGCATTTACAAATAGAGAGGGGAGGACTATGGGGACAGGAAGGAAGGAAAGGAGGGACGGAGGGAGGGAGAGAAAGAAAGGAAGGCTGTAGAAAGCTGCCTCTAAGAAATGGAGTAAGATGTGGGCAGAAAAGCGTTGCCTCAGGCTACTTGAAGGTCCCACGCGACCTTGCCATGGGTTTCCAAGGACTCGAGGAAGGGATCTGAGAAGAGAGTTGCAGGGGACCCAGGTAGGGGTGTGGCTGTGAATGGAGGTGAGATTCGGAGAGAGCAAGGGGTTGGGGCTGACCGGGACACCGGCGACCACTCGGCAAAAGAGACGGCGATTCCAGGCACAGAGGAGGGTGAAGTCCCTGCAGACCCAGAAGCGGGGCCGGCGCCCCCGTGGCAGGGCTGCCTCTGGAAGGAAGGAGAAATGGGGACAGAAGATGGCTGTGCAGGTGCAGGGCCAGCTGCTGGTCGGATGACAGCGTGTTTGGCGGGGGTGTCAAATTTCTCAACAGAACCGAGGGGAGAGTCGGTGAATCCGTTGAGGGGGTGGGAGACACGCACACCTGCTTAGCAGAGCAGTTGCGGGGACTGAATGATCCGGTGTCTCCAGAATCAGCACGTGACAGAGGAAGGACTGCATGCGTGGTCAGGACCCGCACTGTGACAAAGCAGGTGACCGGGCACAGCATCGCCTTCTCTCTCGCCGATGCCGACTTCACACACGCAAACCCGCAAGTGCACGTTGGCTAGCACACTTCCATTCCAATAACACGCCTTCCCAGTTCATGATTCCGTGGGAAGGATCCACTCTGTCAGCCCCTTTGAATTTTCTTTCCCAAGTTAGTACTCTCTCTGTGCTTTCTCTCTCTTTCTCCTCGTTACGAGGGGGGAGCCCAGTGAACCTGACGCCCCAGTTTCGACCCAGGCATCTCGGACTCTGACATGCACTCGACCTTCTGCGCTCAAACCCTGCAGCCCATTGGCCAAGTTTGCCCGCCCGCCCTCCCCTCCCCACTGCTCGCCACCGACTCCCGTCCCTGTTTTCTTGACTTAGGGCCTGGCCTGCCTGGGATGTTCCTCACACAGGATTTTTAATCAAACACGCTCGTTTCCTCCTCGGCCACAGAACAGCTGAAGGAGCCACCGATGGGAGCCGCTGCCCAGGCTGGGGAGTCCTTGATGCTGCCGGTGCGCCGCCCTTGAAACTGCTCCTCAGTGAGAATCGGGCAAACAGACTGTGTTTAAAATAAAGAACCAGTGCATTGAACTCATTTCTGTTTCCAGGAGTGATAACAGGAGCATTTTAAAGTTTTCTTTTTTATCGTTATTATTGAAGGGCCCCATTAAATCGACATTCCTTTTTAATGGTCACAAAGCCGAAAACTGTCGTGAAGGAGGAACGTGCCACTGAGTGCTTCTGAGAAAGTAACCAGCTCTGGGTGGGGCCCCTGGACCTCGTCCTGCCAGCTCCGCGCTCCAGCAGAGCCGCCAGCTCACCATTCCCCGGGGGCACCGTGCCTCTGAAGACGCCACCCACAGGCCCAGGCACTGTGCTCACCACCCCGCCCACGGAAATCTCTCCGTGCCTTTGGTGACGGCAGCCAGGTTTGTGTCAGCCGACAGAAAAGCAGACCAGCCTCTCCCAGAAGTCACACGAGTCCTGTGAGCTGTCAAAACAGTCATTCGAAATGGTTCTCGTTCACAGGTTTCTAATGAATAATTCCAATGTCAGAGGTGTTCAGCAGCACACAGAACATCGACGAGGCTCAACGTCGCCTTACTTCAAGGAGGCCCGGTCTCCAGAGAATCTGCTTTGAACGAGGTCCATTTTAAGCGCCCAACCTGGTTTTCAAGTTTCTCCTGCTGGAATCACGACAGGATTCAGATCATTCTGGGGCCAGGGTCGCCGCGTTGGGGGCCACGAGAGCAGTGAATCGGCCTTTGCTCCTTAAACCTTAAAGGACCCCACAGTTGGTTCTAGAAGTAGAGAAGCCACCGAGAAGCACCGCTTTCTATTCCTGTCCTACCCACCCTCGCTCAGGAGAACACAGCCCAGCGGTGGGAGATCACGCCCCAAGATGGCCTCCCGTCCTGTAATGTTTGGGAAAATTCCCATAAAGCACAAAGGTGACCTGCCCGTGCTGTCCTTGTGCTCAGGAGCAAGCCTGCTGCGCCAGCTGCTGCCAAAGCCCGACTGCCGGGGCCGCTCTCATGAATCCATTTGGATGGTCCGGGCTTACGGAGTCCGGCGGTTTTATTGCCGGTGTTGGAGGAAGCGTCTGGCAGACGCAGCAGCAGCAGCGTGGTCACCAGCCAGGCTCTGCTCCAAAGAGCAGCAGGAAGGGCCTCACAACGGCCCATAAAACGCGCGTTAAAGAGTCCCGGGGCCATATGCTCGCTCCCAGAGCAGCCAAGGAGCACGGGTGGGACAGGGTCACCGAGAGGTACTGAACATTGAGTCCAGCAACGCTGCGGATGACAATGTCCAACTGTGGGGAGAAGACACTTTCGCAGGGGCCACACGTAGGAATGAATCTGAGCATCAGCAGAGCGAGGAAACCCAGCATCTGCTGCCAAAGCCCGAGGACCACAATCGGAAGAGGCTGGGGCAGTGCCCGCCTGACGCCGAAGGGGGCCCAGGCCTGCCCACCCCCGTGAGCCGGAGGGCAGTGCTGGGGCCCAGGTCTGAGCCAGCAGGGCGGCGGGGGCGAGGCTGAGAGAAGGAAAACACTCAGCAGGGCGGGGCCTGTGCTTCCAGGGGGACCCAGGGCGGGCTGGTGGCTGGAAACCTGCACCACAGGGTTGACTGGGCCTTTCTCTGCTCGCCGGGTATGAATTATTTTATTTCAACGTTTCAAACTTCTTCTTCCTTCCTTCCTTCCTTTCTTCCTTCCTTCCTTCCTTCCTTCCTTCCTTCCTTCCTTCCTTCCTTCCTTCCTTCCTTCCTTCCTTCCTATACCAGGAACGACTACCCATGCCAGACACTCAGGGAAGTGTCTCTTTGACTGCCAAGGATGGCCAAGGAATGTGGTGTCACCGTCACACCCATTCAGCAAAGGAGGAGGCGGAGGTTCCTAAAGGACCCGAGGCCGTCCGAGGGCCACAGCCTCCCCACAGCGAGGTGGGGCCGAAGAGGAGGGGGTCGCATTCTGGAGCTCCCACCCCAGTCCCTGCTCTCTGCCTTCCAGGTGCCCGCCGGCACCACGTACAATCCGCACACA